TTTAGAATAAGTTACAAAAAAGAGAAATTCATTACTATATTCCAGCTAGTAGAAAAATCATCATTTAAAAGAAAAATAAGAAAGTCAAGAGTTCTTTACGGGAAGAAGGTTTCATGACTGAAGGCACATATTAAGTAAGTTTTCAGAATTTCAAATAGCTGTCATGAAATAAAAAATTTGAGCTACTGAGGATGGCAAGTCTTTGAAGTGACACTTTCAGGATGGAATCCTCTCTGAAGTTCTTTCAGTCTCAGGGCACACCTACCCCCCTCAGCATATTTAGCCAACTAGAGACTTGGGTGCCTTACTGTGTCCAGTGTCTATCCCAACAACTTTGGGAATCCATGGACTTCCTGTTATTGCTTCCTCACTTGGGACATTCATCAGGAGCTTCTGGGCTCCAGAGGCCCTTGAGACCAAAGAAGAGGGGCCAGGTCTCCTGGGAAACCAGCTGGAGGCACCGGAAGACTGGTGGTGAGTTGCAGCTCTTCTGAAGGCCTGGCTGGGAAGCCACAAGCAATCCCGGCCAGCCACCACAGAGCCCTCAATAGCCTGACAGTAGGGCTCATTGGCAGGTCATGCATGTAACTGTCACCTCAAACAAAAAGAAACAGAGACCTAAGGGAAATAGTAAGATGGAATTTGTAGGTCAACCCAGGAATTGGCAGAGGAAACCGGAGTCTGAATTAGTTTATCCTTTGCAGAGATCAAGTCCTCAGAGGGTTCCACGAAAGATGGGTTCCCTGGGAGACTTTGAAAACATGGATCCTGGGGAAATTAGGAATCATGCCTTTCCATGTTGAAAATATGTTTGGATGGTAATAAATATCTTCAGGAAACATGAAGGAAAAAATTTGAGTTGAATGCTTATTTCTCATAATCATAAGTCCTGCTACATTCTTCACATTAGGATGTAAAACATGCATTGTTTCCATTAATAAAACGGTCCTGTCAGCAAATGTGTAGGACGTTGTTGTGGACTGAATGGTTTCTCTTAAAAAGATACATATAGTCCAAACCCCCAGTGCCTGTGAAGGTAACCTTATTTGGAAATAGGGTCTTCACAGATGTAATCAAATTAAGATAGGGTCACACTTGATAGGGTGGGCTCTAATGCAATATGACTGGCATCCTTACAAAAAGAGAGGACACACAGAGACACAGAAAGAATGCCATGATAAGATGGAGGCAGATTGGAGTGATTCGTTTACAAGTCCAAGAACTTCAAGTGTTACTTACAACACCAGAAACTAAGATAAAGGCATGGAACAGTCTCCCCTGGAGCCTGTAGAGAGAGTACAGCCCTGCTGACACAATCTTCTGGCCTCCAGAACTGTATGAGAATAAATTTTTATTGTTTAACACCACCAAGTTTGAGGTACTTTGTTACAACAGCCTAAGAAACTGATACAGATGTTTATTGCTCCATGTAATTCATGTAAACCAGTGGCTCTCAGATTTTTGATCCCAGGTTATACTTCTACAGCATCTGATTGAGTAGATCTGGAGCAAAGTCCAGAAATGTGTGTGATTAATAAATTCCTCTGGTAATTCCAATAATTGTAGATTACAGAGAAAATTATACAAAACATTGATTTAAACGTCTAAGATGTTTTGTTTTTTGCCTGACTTTTATCAAAAGCCAGGCTTTTTCTCCTGTGCTTTTTCACAGGTATTCTGGAGAACAAAAATCAAACACATGTATTTGGTTCTATACTAACTCAAAAAGGTCAACAACGATTTTAATAATAAAGCAATGTTAGCTGAACCGACATACCATGTCCCAAATTGTAGACCAGAGGGAAAAGAGTTAGCTAAATGACCCTCCCATTGAATAAGGGGAATAACGGAAATTCTGACAGACCCTTATCTTGCACCAAAGGGAGCAGGTGTTGCAACAATGCAAATAACTTGTGTTGCCAAAAGCCCTCCCTTCTCGTCCTGGTGGCTCATTTCAAATGTTTTAGTGTGTCCTCTCACTCACAGAACACGTGCAGCATAGCCAGCACGAGAATGGAGGGCTATTGGGGGCTCATCAGAAATCATGTTGCTTCGACAGAGCCCTGACTTAGAAGCTCAGAGCATGGTCGGCACCAGGTTCACTGCCTGAAACTACTCCAACTGACCAGACTCTGAAGAATGTGAGAAGCATATTTAGGTGGAACTGGTTAAAGTTCAGGACCTGGATCTCAGTACTGAGTGGATCAGTTAATGCTGCCACTCAAATCAACAGGCAAACCAGTCTTAATGGGTTAATAATGGGTTTTAGACCCTGTGACTTGTCTTAGGCATGTCTACTTGGTGTGTGATTAGGCCCAAATCATCTAACTTCTCTAAACCTCAGCAGCCCCAACTAGAAAACAAGGATAATTCTTACCTCCCAAGGGCTATTTGGAGGTTGAATAAAGCAGTGTATGAAATATTATCCATCAAATACTAGTTCATACGGGTAAGCAGTCACACAAATTTTCTTTGGCCATGGAATACAACGTCAGCCCTAGGTGCCTGCTTCATAGTATGAGCTCAAAAACACCTGCCCAACCCACCACGATCACCGGCTGTTCCCGAAATAGCTTGCGCTGTGGATAGCAGATGTGTCAGGTATCACGGTGGGTACCTTGGACAGTAGAAACCCTCTATTGTCATCCACTGTGAACAGACAGGTAGCGGGTCAATTCATAAAAAATATTGGTTAAACTGGGAAATCCTTACAGATGACGCATGCGTACCTTAAATTTACACTGTAACTTAAAATGTATAAAATAGATTCACTCCTAAGCTTTGGGGGTAGGACAAGCTTCGCTGTTCGGGTTGACTTTGAGACAGCACAGCACAGCGAGCAGAGCTCACACCAGCTCTCTTGCACAAACAGCTCAAACATCACCTGCTAGGATTTCCAGGTCTGCTTTCTATAAAGCAGACTGAGAAAGCAAAGACCTCTGTGAGACCATCTGAGCGCAGACTCTTCTGGTTTTTATGATTCCCTCCACCCCCCAAGTTTTTAGAGTTGTCTCATCCACATCTAATTCAACAGCACTTTTAGCAACTCAACCTTACTGTTTCCAAAACATTCACTGAGTGGACAACTCTCTTTCTGCACTTACATTAAACCAGTTGTGAAACATTTAATTGAAATATGTAATTACATAACAAACGGAACTGGCATAAACAGATATGGGCAGCAACACAGCTGACTCTTGGCAAGTATGCAACTGCACTGATGGGAACAGAAGAACCAGGATGAAACAGAGCAGCCCACTAGGTGGGAGCAACCCGCATTCTTCAGGCCTTAGGCAATATGTTTTATAAGGGATAGAAAGCTCTGGTTGATCGAATGGGTAGAAGGAGATTGGTTAAGAGTTTCTGATGCACCACTTTGTCTAACAGAGAAGCACTAGGCTCTCAGCAAAGAGACACCCTGGGGCCAGCAGAATCGGAATGGACCAAAAGGCGGCGTGTTGTAGAGCTGCAGCCCTGGGATCTGCTATCAGAGGTTAGGCAGAGAGCTCTGGAGCTCTTTGTAAGTTCCACTTTAAGAAACAGTGTATTTCAACAGCTCCTTGAATATTGAGATATTCAGCCCCCCAATGAAGCTTCTGTCGATCCTGACCCAGGGAGAAAGAAAGCCCTGGATCAACCTGAGTATCAGACTGTGAGCACTGGCAGATGGCGAAGCCTCCCTCCCTCTTGATTGCAGCCCCAGCAAGAGTCCCCAAGAGGAAACCCCCTTGTGTTAGGCCACAGGGCTCGCTCTCAACTCAGAGCCAGACTAGCTCTCTCAGGACAGCTTCTTCAACAAACAAACATCACCAACATCAATGACGAGAGCAGTGGCAACTAACACAGCTATAAGGCTCTTTCTTATGATCAGTTACAACACTAAGCGCTGTACATACATTTTCATACAGTAACCCTACACAGCATCCTCTTATATTTGCCCCCTCTCACAAACAAAAGCACTGAGGATCAGGAGATTTAAAACTTATGAACACATAGCTGGTAAATAGAAGAACTTGAATTTAAACCCAAATCTGACTTAACAACGAGACAAAGGTCTTTAATCACATGACAGAACAAGGAAGAGAGAAGGGGAGTGTTCATGGGTGTGGTGATTTACAGGAGCATGTTGTGACTTTAAGAACAACAGTTGCAATTATTTACATGGCATCCTTGAAGGCAGGGAGAAGCTTAAACTTCCAAATCAGCAATACGGATGATGCAAAAAGTCTTTAGAGTATCTTGGGAAAGACCGTGGTCAACATCACTTTCCTGGTGAGGAAATCTGGACTAATCTGTTTGGGATGACGATGATGACATAGTGGGGGATAAAGATATAAGAAGAGAAGGAAGTGTGTGTATGGGGGTGGGGGGTGTTCAATATCAGGCAGAAGATAGCCCTTCCAATTTATTAATATTTTTACTGTTCCCTCTGAGAAAATCTCATTACAAAATATTGCCCTAAAACACCCCTTTTGTGGCAGGCCAAACCTCGGTCACTAAGTACCTAATAGCATATGGTACAACTCTCTCACTATGGTCAACAGAAGGGACCCTTATCCCTGGAAGCACATCAACCATAAGTTAAATGCTTTGGAAAATACTTGGTCCTTTTTAAAGAAAATTCATACATATATCATGTCACTTTCTTTCTCTAACAACCCAGTGAGACCGGGAGAGAAGTTATTAAATTAGAATCTCAACTTTAGCAAAGACAATATTCACTCAAATTCACACAGCTACTTATAGATGTTAGAACCAATTGTTTTCCATAAGTACTCATTTGGTTAGAAATAAGACAGCACAGCAGAAGAAAAAAAAAAAAAACTGACCCCAAATTAATATTTCCTACTGATAGTTCTCAAACCAAAAATAAACCTGAATAGTCAAGAGATGACCAAGTTAATATTTTGAGATACTTGGTTGAAAGGCACATTATAGAAATTCCAAGTCTAATTTTCCTCATTCATTAAATATGTATCTATTAAACACCTACTACATACCTTCCAAAGTGCTGTGCATTAGGCATACAGTGGTAGATATGAGTGCAAGATCCCTGCCCACGATCTCTTAGCTGTCCGCTCTGCCTTGTCAAGCTTGTACTAAGAGGCCAAATTCTCTAAGGCAGGTCCACAACTGGCCTACAAGGCATCCATTAACCTCCTGAAAATAAAGATAGAGTTTTGGTTATTTGTGTGTTTACTTTTCTAAGGAATGGGTTCACAGCTTTTATTCATTTCTCAAATTCTTAACTTTACAAGTTAACAACCAATAGTAAAAGAACCATGATTGAAACCAAGGAGTAAACAAGCAGTTATTATAAGTGAAGGACCACACTTCTCCTCTCCCTGTCTTTTCATCCCACCCCAATCTCTGGTCACGTCTTATCTAACAAATCCCACAGGCACTAGGGTGTAACTGTATGATATTTGCCTTGTAAATCTCTAAAGTACTATATATAAATAATAGTTAATGTTATGGTCATTATTGCTAAATTTGTAAGTTTCTTCTTCCAACATCTCCAAAGAAAGTCAAATATTTAATGACCAGCCACTGTGTCTCAAAAACATTGCCTCACAACACAGGTCACTTCTGAAGTAAGGGAAGAGAGACTTGGCATTCAAGCTACTGTACTGGCCAGTTAAGTTTGATCTGTTCTTCATTTTCTCTTTCTTCCTTTCCATCCTGCCTTCCTGGCTATGTTTCCTTTTGAAGGATACAAAGACAGTGAAAAACTTAGGTTTCTAAGGGATTCTTAAATGGTTATTAATTCTGGATATTTTTAAATGATATTAGGGTATCCTGAGGCTAAATGGGACCAAGTGGCTTTTAATAATACAATAAATAAATAAAAATGCATTCCCACAGGGCTAGGAATAAACACCTATGTTCCAAAGCCCGTCTAGGAGCTAAGGGAAATGAACGTTTTTCATCGTAAGAAGCCTGGGCACAGTGTACAGACTGCATCCTGAACTGTGCAATGGCTGGCTAGATTTATCCTCCTCCTTCATTTGATATACACTACAGTCAAAAATCCTCTGAAGAATTTAAGCAAGCGCTGTCAGATGATTGCAGCCTTTGAAGACAGACACCTAAAAACAACAACCACACGCGCACACACACACACACACACACACACACACTCTGCTTTCTACAGCTTACATCTCCAGACTGCTTCGCCTATAAAGATGACTTACTTTTTAGAATAATCGCACATATTTTGACTAGTTTTGTTTTTTAAAGACAGTTCAGCTATATTCGTTGCAAAAGCATTTGGAAACGGTCTATTTGTTTCCTCTATCCCAGCTCAGGCACTATCAGTTCATCTTGTGATTGTGATAGAAATAAACACCCCACAGGGATCCTCTGCTTTCAGAGTCAGGTAGGTGTGTAATATCGCTAGGTTTTTCAGGATTTAAAGCAAAGTAAATCTAGAGAAAGTGCTGCTGTAAAATTCAAAGGAAACATGGTTATTCGGCTTTGCAGAACACGAGCAGTTCCCTTCCTCTGACAGCTCTTGCAGTAGTGGCTGGAATAGAGGTAAGATCCCAAAAACATGAAAATCACACTCTATATAATCCGCTTACAGGGGAAGCAAATTAAAAGCTATTTTTGCGAGTTTCTGAGCCCAGCACATGGTCTCCTTCACAAATCGAATTTGACACTCAATCCATCCCCACCACCGACCTGAGGAATGTAAATGTGTCAAGAAGCTTAAAATTAGCTAACAAGTCCACATGAGCAATGGGCTATCCAGTCCAAATTTAAGATGTATTTGCTTAAGCTTTCTAAACAGAATCTAATTCCTACTTTTTGTTGGTAGTTCTCCTGCAAATCACTTAAGCATTCTACGTTACTGCATTATCTCAAGAACAGCATAAGTTTCAGCCTCTCTCTCTCAGTCATAAGATAGTACGATGTCAAGTCTAAGCCATAAACATAAGCCTGTCTGAAAGCAGCTCTGTTGAGATGCTATTTTTGTTGTTGTCGCTGTTGCATCCACTCTTGAAGGAGGTAGAGATGATGCTCTAGCCTCCCTCACGATGACCGTCCGCTAGCTCACTGTGCTCGTCATATTGCTACAAACCACACTAACCACTTACAAATACAAAAGGGAGGTGGATTCTTTAAGCCAAGTGGAAATTTAACTGGAGATATTAAAGATTTATTTTATCTTATTGCATTAGGTACTTACTAAAGGGCAAATGTTTCTAAGGATATAGCCTAACAGTTAAAAGTGTAAGTTTTGCCATCAAATACAATGCATTCAAACTCACCTCTGTCAGTAGTTAGCTGTGTGGCCTTGGGGAGGTTACTAAACCTTACTGTGCACTGTCTTGTATTTTATATGAGGATAACAATGGTATCTCTCTCATACACTCACTGTGAAGAATAAAGTATATGATTCTATAACCCCTCCTTCTTGGGCCAACTTTGGAAATTGGACATTCTCCAGCTTCATCACAAACAGCTTTAAGATCTTTCCATATCCTGCTTTTGCCCATAAAAAAATGAGATGCAGGGAAGACTTCACATACATCCAGAAAAGCTACCAATCCAAGCATTTCCCTAAACAGAAACAATCCCCTCCTTAAGAGGAATTCTACTTTCGGCTTTACAATGAAATAATATAGGTAAAAGCATCAAGCACAGTGTGTAGACTATGTTAAGTTCTTAGCAAACGTGAACTGAATCTGAAGCTGCCATAGCTTGTCCACTTTTGTTTCCTCAAATTCTTGGTGCAAAATCTTCTGGCTACTGTTCAGAATCAACTGTCTGGCTGTGTACCCCTCAATACCATTCCATGGGGAGATGCTCTTTATCCTGCCTCAGACCTTTCACTGGGCCTATCTTTGTCATATATTGGATTTTCTGTTTCCTGAAGCCTCTACTGGCAGGAATCATAGAAGGAGGAGCAGAGGTTAGGAGACGGAATCAAGGAATCTGCTCTGCTGATGGGCAGTGTGACAGCAGAAAGGTGCTGGATTCCTCCAGTGTTCAAACCATATCAAACCTCTGAGAGGATCCAGTGCATGGCCAATATTCTTGTCTCCTCTCCGCATCCATGAATCAGTGTGATAAACCTCTGGATCCTTAAGGTACCTGAGTGTCTCTACTACCAAAAGAACCTACCTCACATGCTTCCCATCACACTGGGCATTTTGTCCTCTTTACTCGCACAACTGACTTTCAGGAAGCAACAGTGGGCTGTACCTGCACTTCTTCCTCACAAGGTAGCTGGGAACCATGCAGTCATCTTCAATTATGAGCACACACCTGGCTCCAATCAGAGTTCCAGCAGAGGATGTCAGGTGGCATACAACCCTCCTTGAAACCTACTATTTCCCTATCATGTCTCCATATGAAAACAAGAACTAAGTGGGAAAGAGTCATACAATCCTTGGTGGAACCCACGCTTCTGGAAATGTGTTCCCTCTAGTCCCAAGGAACAGCTCCCAGGGAGAATCATCACCTAAGCTGCCTCGGTCTACAGAGATCCCTGCACCTTGACGGCATGGCTCACCTGCCCTATCCTCGGTGAATTCTTGGGCAGCTGGAAGGGTGGGCTTGACTTCATCTCACCAGTTCTTTGACTTCTTCAGTCATTAACCACAGCTATCTGACCCTTGAACCAAGCGCTATGTGTTATTCTTAGCACATGCCTGCAAACCCCACAACCCAGCGGCTTGCTGTGATTCAGAGTTCTCCACTGTGTCTGAGCCTATGCTACCTCTCCAGGTTCCTCCACGTCTCTCATCTCAGCTGGAGAGAGGATGGCATTCCACTTAACTCCTGCTCTTGATACTCACCAGCTGCAGAGAATGCTTCTTGTCCCCTTACGCAGCCCTGGCACCTACACTCGGTGGAATCTGACATTTTCACATCACGGCACTAGGAACCAGAAAATCCAGGTTTTGGTCCTGGATCCATTCTTATAGGATCTCGGCAATAGTCTCTTGATATGAAGTCACTTCTTAAACTCCACTGATGTATTAGTTCACTAGGGCTCCTAACAAAGTGCCACAACTTGGGTGGCTTAAAAATGCAAATTCCTTGTCTTACAGTTCTAGAGGCTACAAGTCCAAGATTAAGGTATCAGCAGGATTGGTTTCTTCTGAGGGTCATAAGGGAAAGATCTGTTCCAGTTGTCTCTCTAGTTTCTGAGGGCCTCAGATGTTCCATAGCTTGTAGATGACCATCTTCTCCCTGTGTCTCTTCCCTCTATGTGTATTTGTGTTAAAATTTTCCCTTTTTATAAAGACACCAGTCATATTGGATTAGGGACCCATCCTCCTCCAATATGACCTCATCTTAACTAATTACATCTGCAGTGACTATTTCTAAATAAGGTCACCTTCTGAGGTACTGCGGCTTAGGGCTTCAGTATGTGAATTGGGTGAGGCTGGGGAAGGGGCAGGGGAGACATAATTCAACCCATACCACCTGGTAATCCCTGTTTTACCTACTTGCAAAGCTGACGTGAGAGACATTGAATATAAATGCATTTTGCGCACTGTAAAGTACTACACAAACACAAGGAATTATTAGGACTTAAAATACTTGATGGAGTTTGTTTTTTGAGACTTACAGCACACGGCCATCCTACTGATTATTCTGTAGAATAACAACAGTCAAGAAGTGGCCATGCTACACCCATAAAAGTGAATTTATTTTTCTGCAAGTGGTGTTTCCTTCTCATTTATTGATTTGCATAAAATGCCACTTAATGGCTTGAATATTTATAATATGTGGACTCAGTAAGAGCTTAATTTCCACAAAATAAAAAGGTGCATTATCTCTTACTGCAGACAGAGTCCTCTTTTTCCAAGCCATTTACATTTCCCTCTCCCCTAGACAGAACTTATGTAAATAGATTAGTAGCACAGAAACAAAATATAGTCTTCACAGGGGAAAAGTTGACTGGGAAAAGGGCTTGTACTCTGAAACTGTTTGAATCTTTTCACCCACAAGAGTTTCTCCAACGCCTAAGTAAATAGAGGGACACTTGAAAATCGAACTAACTGACATGACAGAGATTTATTATTTCCCCTAAGGAGGAAAGAGACAGGAAGCTTTCTGATTCTATCCAGGTGCTTATCCAAGATGTTACTATTGGGCCCATCTACTGCCCATGGAAGGAACAACAATAACCAACAACTGTT